CCCCCAGCCAGCTGCCTGCCGAGGGCGAGAGCGGCAGCCGGGTTTCAGGCCGAGCCCAGAACTGCAGGGCGGCCTCCCGGGCCAGCAGAAGGACTTCAAAGGACAGGCCCAGGGGGCGCCGGCAGCCCCAGCCTGCCCAGCACCCGTTCTGATCGCAGTAAAACTACCTTCTAATAATTAATGTTTGACATCAAAGGCCGGAACCGCGGGTCTGGGAGCCATCCTGGCCTGGCCGAGGACCTGACTGTATTTTACCCTGTCTTTCTTCTCTTTATTTAAATCCAAAACCACACACAGGCAGAGCACGGATGGAGCTGGAGCCTCGATTTGATTACTGAAGTGCACCTTTGAAGTTCCCCGAGGCCCCCACCCCAGGACAGAGGCTGGGCCCCGGGCTTGCGGCTGGCGGGGCGGGCGGGGGCCCCTGGCCGAGGACCTGACTGTATTTTACCCTGTCTTTCTTCTCTTTATTTAAATCCAAAACCACACACAGGCAGAGCACGGATGGAGCTGGAGCCTCGATTTGATTACTGAAGTGCACCTTTGAAGTTCCCCGAGGCCCCCACCCCAGGACAGAGGCTGGCCCCTGGGCTTGCGGCTGCAGGGCCGGGAGGGGCCCCCAGATCAAAGGCCCGCGGGCGGAGGCCCACACTCTCCCGGAGGGTGCCAGGGCCCCCGATCCTTTCTGAGGCAGGGCCTCCCACCAGCCAGCACCAGCACTGCCAGGCCCTCTGCTCAGCTGCTGGGGCTGCTCCCAAGATAGTTCGAGGTGAAGCCACCAGGGTGGGAGGAAGAGCCCCAGCCCACGGACGTGACCCTCAAACCAAGGGCTCTCCGGGCTACCACAATCACACGAGGCAACTCCCAGCCTCTGGCCCGGGAGAGGGGCCTGGGGGTCTGGCAGCCCACACGTTATCCACACAGAGGTGAGCAGGACCCCGTGGGGACGGCAGGGCGCCCGGTCCCCAGTGCCCCGGCCCCTCCCCACTACCCATTCGCGAGGACACGGAGGCTGGTGCAGAGTGCTGTGGAGTGTGGGCAGGCCCACAGCCCCACCAGAGCAAGAACAAGGCACTGGCACCATCCAGCAGTGACCGGCTCGGGTCTGGCAACTTCGCACACACCAAGCCACCTGGCCATGCACGGAGTGCCCGCCATGGGTGACTGGAGCGAGGTGCCAAGGGCCTTGCCGGGCGGTCCGCTGGGCTGGCCATCCCCACGTCTGCCAAGGGTGCCTTCACCCTGCACATACCTCCCTGGGAGCTCTGCCAGCAGGGCCTAGCCAGGGTGTCCACAGGATGTGAGAGTGTGGGATGAAGACCTAGCAGAGGCCCCAGCCCCTGGCCAGCATCGTGCAGGGACCCTGGGGCACAGGGAGGTGCAGACGTGGGGTGGGACACCAATCAGGCTGCATCAGCGAGGACCAGAAATGCCTTTTACAGAGAGATGAGTTGAGGGGAAACCGAGTCCCACTGACGCCAACCACCTAGGAAGGGTCAGGCGCTCCTGAGCGAGCGAGCAGCCGCCGACACCAGGACAGAGGAGTGGGACACGCCAGGGCAGTGGAAGGCGTCTGCTCAGCCCTTGCGTGCTGCCCGTGGACGTGTCCCTCGGTCCCCATCCCCTACCTCCCGCGGATTCTCTAGGACCCACAGCTGCATCAGCTACCCGAGCACCCCCAGATTTGCACAAAACCCAAGGAGGCCTGGGCCACCTCAGCCTGCAGCATGGAAGCTGGGACCCGAGCTCTGCGGTCACACATCCAACACACGCCCAGGACAGGGACGGTCGTGGCTGGTCAGCCACATGCGAGAGGCCTGGGACAGGCGGCCCCACGGGGCACGGTGTGCAGGCAACGCCCTCCACAGCCTGGCCTAGGCAGCAGCAGGGACCTCAGAGCTGATGGCCTCTACGAACCCCACGTCCGCGCACGGTGGGGCGCTGCTGCCAAGCTCACAGCAACACTGGCCAGAGGACAGGCACAGCCCCGAGATCACGCGGACACAGAAGACGCCGTCAGCAGCTCCAACGTCCCTTCCGGATTTCCTGTCATCTTAGGAAATCAGGTCGAGCAACTTCTAGGTATCCTCTCTGGGGTCAGGACAAATGCCCACCAGTGCGGCTGCCACCTGGCAGATAGGAGACCTGGGTGTGGTGCACGGCACGGAGAGAGCACAGGGCGGGCAGGGAAGCACCACCGGGCACCTGCAGGGCCTCCGGGTAACCCGGACCGCTGCAGTCCCCAGCAGCCCGTCAGCCTGCCCGCAGCCGGGCACTGCATCTCGCGGGTGGCCCAGGGTATGCGAGACCCCATGCGGACAGCCAGGACCAAAGAACCCTGCGGGAAGACACCAAAACAGACAGAGACGGGAACATGCCCCAAACCACCCACATGCCGCTACCCTGTGGACCTGCAGCCGCCCCCGACGGGAGGCCCTCGGCCCTGGGCTGACAGCGCACTAAGATCTCAAAAGCACAAACTGCAGGAACAAGTTGGAGGGGCCCAGATGCCCTCGGCCAGCTGCGCCCCATGGCACCTGTCTGCAGGCTGGCGTGGCCTGGTCGGCCTGAGGAGGTGGGGGGACAAGGGCATTGGTAACAGGCATGGGAACAGTCAGGTTCTGCCTGGACTGGCCCCGCTGAGGCGTGGCTGTCCCAACACCCGCCCTGGGGCTGATGTCTACCAGCCGCCCTTCTGTCCCTGCTTCCACGCACCCCCGCCGCCGGCCCAGCCCAGAGCTGTCCCCCCACTATGCTTCCCACTGGTTTCCAGCACCCCATGGCCACGTGTGGGAACCTGGGGAGGCCTGCGGTGCTCGGTAGCCCCATGGAGCCCGGTGAGTGTAGCATGCCTGTGCCCTGCCCCACGCACCTGTCCCAAGTGTCCCTGTCCCCTGAGAAGGTAACGAGCTCTGGTCAGAGGCACTGGTGGCCACAGCACAGAGGGGCCCTGCCTCTGCCGTGGCCTCGCCTCACCTCCTCACCCTCAGGATCCTGCTAGTGTTCTCGGCCACTAACATGCCACCCGGCCTTCCTCCTCGCTGACCTCCCTCCTCCATGAGGTGAGCCTCTGCTGCCTTGCCCCCCAACCCGCTTTACTTACATCTCTCCTTAATCTGCCAGAGGGAGGCAGAGAACAGCACCCCCGTGGGGCATGGCCACCTCCAACCCCTGCTCCCCCCGTCGGGACCTGGGGTGCACACGCATGCACCCTGCCGTCTCTCAAGCCTTCAGGTTCAGGACTCAGACCACGGTGGACCTGTGGGCTCGGCTGCCTTAACCCGCAGGCCAGGGACAGCTCTGTGGACTCCTAACAGTTCTTACGTCACATCCACCAAGAACCCCTGAAGGGTCCCCACCCTGTGACTTCCAGGGGAACTGCTTCCCCAGTGAAGCTGTGCGTGGACCCTGAGCCCGCACACATGCAGACCCACGCCAGCTGCAGTTGCAGGAGGGGGTGGAAGACGGTGGGAAAAATCCACGGCCACATACAGCCTCTGCCAGCCAGGACAGGCCTGAGGACCAGGCCCTGAGGCAGCAGGCAGGTATCGGCGCCTCAGCCTGGAAGTGAGTCTCCCCTACCCCCACCACCGCTGCCAGGCTCCCTGGGGGGCCAGAGGTCCAGGACACTTTCTGGAAAAACCGCCGAGGGAGACAGGGCTTGCAAGCATTTTTAAGGAACCCCGAAGACCAGCAGGCGTTGCATCTGAGCCACACCTAGGGGACACCCCTGGCTTCCGGCGGCCAGCAAGAGGGCGCCTCTGCCAGCTGTCCGAGACAGCTCTGCCCAGCTCCCAGGGGACAGGGCTGCTGCGGGCAGAGCGGGCTAGGCAGACACGGCTACAGCGGCAGGGCAGGGCTCCCACAGCACAGGGCGAAAGGGATCCCTCAGAGGTGACAACCGTCAGATGGTCAGATGGCCGAGCAAGGGCGGGGGTGGCGGACGCTGACATGACGTCGACCCCTCTGGGGTATGCATGCTGGCCCCCCACTGATGGGTCACCCAGGGTGGGGGGCCTCGCTCTCAAGGTCCAGCCCTGCCTGTCCCACTGCCCACTTGCTGTTGTCAATGAAGGGTCCCTCTGCCTCTCAGGTGAGTGCTGGCTGGGACCTTAGCAGAGAGTGGACATCACCCACGAGGACGACACTCGGGGGCTGTCCGGGCTGAGGGTGACAGCTCCTTGTAGGACAGGGCCGGATCTGGGGCCAGAACCACAGCGCTGCTCCACAGAGCTGTCAAGGGGTGTGCTGCGGGGTGGAGCAGCGAGCCCCCACAGCTCCGAGGGTACCACTGCCCAAACCTCCGTGCCAGAGACATCCCCGCGGGACGGGACGGACGTCCTGCCTGGACCGGCAAAGGCCACACTTGTGCTCTGTTTAGAACGACATCAAAGTGACCGCACGCCCCACACCCCTGCAGCTGCCTTGGCTCCAGATCACGCCCGCAGCACAAGACCACCCCCGCCCCAGCCACCTCGTGCCCAGAACCTGACCGACTACGACCAAGCTGGGGAAGGGATGTGACTGCTCCGGGTCACCATGTGGGACAGACAGCAGAAGCCCACGCCGGCACATGGGGCAGCACGGGGGCCCGGGGCAGCAGAACACCACCTCTGGTGCGGGCAGCGTTACCAGAACCATTGAACGGGGCGTAACCTGGGTGTGCCCATCTGGCGTCACCCGGGGTCTCACCAATCTGGAATGAGCGGGGCAGAACCACCTGTTTGCACAGTCAACCCAGGACCCCTGCCAGGCCCGGGAGCAGCCACAAAGCCACAAGAGAAAAGCCAGCCCAGTCCAAGGCCCATGGCTCGCAGGTCTCTTACCGACTCTGGCTCCTGTGAGGGGTCCTGGCCAGGCTTTGACTTCTTTGGCTTGGAGGGGCCTCCAGGGCTGGGCAAGGACTTCAGTGACTTGGCTGAAGGTGACATGAGAGACCTCGTGGGCTCTGGGGGGCCCCCCAGCCGCTGTCCTCCCCCAGAGAAAGGAACGAAAAATGCAGGC